ATAACTGTAGCAGCAATGCAGAATGCATTGACTTGCCAATTGGTTTTTCCTGTTCCTGTCCAGATGGCTTTGAGTTGAATGATGCCAATCAGTGCGTGGATATAGATGAGTGCAAGAAGGTAATTCCAAAGGTATGCAGCCAGGGATGCGTTAACCATGAAGGTGGCTACAAGTGCTACTGTCAGGAGGGATATATTCTTGAACACAAGTCATACTGTCGCGCTATTGGACCAGATCCACTCGTCATTTTTGCTAACCGCGTTGATTTACGCGAATACGATCCACGTAAAAGGGAATACCGAATGATAGTAGACCATCAAAGAAGCGCAGTGGCTTTGGATTACGACATCAAGAAGAAGCAGGTTTACTGGACTGACGTCACCCAGGAGCAGATCTTCCGTACCGACATCAATGGCACTGGTGAGCCGGAGGCAGTCATTACTGTTGCGAACACACCAGATGGCATTTGTATTGACTGGGTCTTTAATAACATGTACTGGACCGATGCTGGAACTAACACCATTGAAGTTGCAAGCCTTGAAGATCCAAGCAAACGTGCCATTCTCATATCAGAGGACTTAGATGAACCAAGAGCTATTACAGTTGACCCAAGAATTGGGTAAGCTAATTTATTTTATTTTCAAATGATTTTCTTGTTTACGTTTTGCTTGTAATCATGATAAAAATTTATTATTTAAAAATATTCAAAATTTCATTTGCAATTCATTTTCTGCAGTTACATGTTCTGGTCAGATTGGGGCGAGAGAGCTAGGATTGAACGTGCAGGAATGAATGGACAGCAAAGACTAACACTTGTCGACACTGACATCGCATGGCCAAATGGCCTAACCATCGATCTAGTCAGTGATCTTCTCTTCTGGGTGGATGCCAAGGTGCACAGTCTGAGCAGCATCGACTACAATGGCCTGGGTAGACGTACCATCCTCCATTCGGAAACAATTTTGCCTCATCCATTTTCCATCGCCGTGTTTGAAGACTATGTTTACTGGACAGATTGGAATAAGGAGAGTATCATTCGAGCGAACAAATTCAGCGGTGGAAACCGTACCACTCTGGTTGAAGGACTCTATTCTCCAATGGGCATCCAGATCTATCACCGTCAGAAGCAAATGGAAGGTAAATAATCTTATACCGTATTTTACTGAGTATGATCCGTAGAGCCCAGCTACATATGTAAATGAAATTTAGGAGGTTGGCTTATACATGGAAAATACCATAGCATTGTCATTTTAACTCATTTCTGATAATCACTTAAACCTAAACATTTCAAGCAAAATATCAGGTATAAGTCATCATAATGGTTGCATCATAATGGAGTTACATCTGTACTAACCAAATTACTATGGGAAATTTAATAATAGAAAAAAAAAAAAATTAACAAACATTAACTGTTTACAAAAATTGTGAGGATTCTCAACGTAGTGCATTAACTTTTCTCAGAATTAACATTTGAAAAAAAAAAATTCAGAATCTATTACTTGGGCAAATACTCGATTGGAGGCTAGAATGAGAAATCAACATTATATTCTTCATTCTTACAAGAAATACTTTATTCAAAAAATGTACATGAGGGATGGGAAAGTAATTATTATAGGATTAAAATTTAATTTTTTTTTTTCTTTAGGGATTTTTAACTATTGTGACGGTCATAATGGTGGATGCTCTGATCTGTGCGTCGCAGCCCCGAAAGTGAGCGCAAGTTCCGCCAAGTTTTCCTGCATCTGTCCTATTAACTCTTCACTGTTGCCGGATGGGCGTACCTGTAACGGTTCAAAAAAGAATCCTCAGACACCGCCTCCTGCAACAACAGCCAGTCCAATAAAATCTACCACAGATATAAGTAATGAAATTGGCACAGTTGATACGAATAATGAGAGAGGTGGTAATGCCCTACCGCACGGAGACAGTAGTAAACAGAGGCATGGCCGTCGATCACTTATGATAAGCGCCATCGTTGGTACTCTAGTGTTCGCACTTCTAGTTTTCGCTATTATAGCCTTTGTTATTTGGAGGTACAGCAATTTATTTTTTCATTAAGCAATGTTTTTTTTTTATGTCTAAACTTTTAAGAATTTAGTCATTAAAAATTCAACTCATTAAAAGTTCTTTAATAATTCTTAAATGTTATAAACCATTTCATAACTTTTGAAAATTCAATTAAAATGTTTTTTTTTGTTTACAGGTTTGTGAGTAATAAAAATAGAAGAAAGTCTATGAACTTTGATAATCCAGTATATAGAAAAACAACTGAAGATCAATTATTCTTACATCATCCAGAAAAGTATGAACATAATCCTGGCAATGGTCGAGCGTATGAACCGGTAAGTTCGAAGAAAAGTACTTGTAATCCCCCATGATTTTCCTGCCGTACCCCTCCCCCTCAAAAAAGGACAGAATTCATGATTGTTTTTTTATTAATTCATTAATTATTTAGCCATTAGACATTAGTTAATACATGTTCGGATAATCTTGAAAAAGAGCCCACATATCTGGATTAGAAGTCCATGGAGTTCGTTTCGAGATGGGCTTCTCTAGATTAAGCCCACTGGGCTTCCATTTGAGGCTTTACGGTATGGTTGGACAATAGTTTAAAGGGATTGTGAATATGTTTAACTAATGTATTATTATTGTTATTATTATTTTAATTTTTTTATTATTATTATCCATGCAAACAACTATTGAATAATTATAATGCTCCCTCACTTATCTTATTTCCAAGTGGGAAAGGGAGATAACATTTTTATGGTCCTAATATCGAATTACATGTGATGTGTGTATCCGTTTGTTTTTTTGGAGTATGATTAATCCAGATGCAGGATGTTATATAAACTCTTGGTAAAAGTACAGTAATTCTATAAGGAATTAATTTAAATTACTTTAATAAATGTGATGATCATTGTCGTACTTCAGTGGTTATCTCATTAATATATTTAGTTAATGAACAATATAACTTTTTTCTCTTTTTCAGATAAAAACAATAGGAAATGACTACAGCGTATAATGCAGAACAGGATTTGATTTTTGGACTTTCAAAAAAAAAATTATTTGCCATTCGTATGGAACATAAACATTGATAAGAAATGATGGATTATAGAAGTTATGAAAATCCAGTTTTCCACACTAAGAAATTGAACAAGAAATGAGCGGCACCATGCAATTCTGACTGGATATCCGCCGCCAAGTGGAATTTTCTAGGCCACATACTGCCATTTTCTAGGCCACTGATGCTGAACAATTGAATATAAAAAAAAGCACCTAAAAAGTTGCTAACAGAATATTAAGCAATAGATAAGAATTTTCTGAAAGGCTTCTATACATGAAATTAATTCTACCCTTGATAAAGCAGCTCATTTTTTTTAAGTGTATTTTTCTAAGTGCAAAGATAGAGGATATTTTCTGTTTATTAAAAATCATACTGGGTTGCTTGTTTAAAAAAAAAAAAATAATAAACACAATAATAATTTCATATTAGAAGAAGTTTTTGTTTTCTTAGATTAGGAAAGTAGCATTAAAAATAAGCAGATAAGTACACCTAAAAAAAAAAATAACAAAAGCGGTGAAAAACTATGAAAAAAAAAAACATTTTTGGTTTATACTCTTAAGGTGCTGGTGACAAATTTTGTAAGTTTGAGTTGTATATTTCAGTTTGACTATTCCATGAGCTGGGTGTGTGTGTGTTAGTGTGTGCTGTGGGGGAGGGGGAGTGAGAATTGAATATTTTTCTAAGATATTGATATGCAACCATTATTGTGTGACAGTTAAAATTGAATGTTTTCAGTGCGAGAGTCTGAGAATAACACTGTACAAAGAAAAAAAAATCAATATAAATTGTAAATATTAGATAATACATGTGTATGCTTCATGTAAAACTATTTATTTGATTCTGTTTTTCTTTCTCATTTTTGTATACTGTAATTATTTTGATTTTTTCCTTCTGATGGCACCGACTATGAAGGGATCTTGTGAAACCTTGTGTCCAAGTCAAATACTATCTGTAATTCCAAATTTATAATGTAACGTATATATTTTTACGTATCGTATCATTAAAAAGCTAGTTCCTAATTTTATGTAAATAATTAAAGTACTGAGAAAAAAAAAAATAATTTATTTGATATGTTGTAAAAATTAAAGTGTAAAATATGTTGAAATTAGTGTATGGTATTAATAGCAGTAGGTCACAGGAACTATAGTGTTGCTAGATGGTCCTGTTTATACAGCAATGTATAAACCCTTACAAAACATTAAAAAATTCTAAGAAATATTTGATTCTGTTTAAATTGTATCATGTGAAAAATAATGTTTATGTGTTGTTTATTGTTCAGAAAATAAAAATATAGAAGTGGACATAATAGAAAAAAAGTAGTTGTAAAAAACAGAATTATTAAAGATTTGAGGCATGAAGTCTTTGTCATAAAAATGTGGCAAGACTGACTAGAGATGAAAATCTGATATAAATGAAAAACAGCTTGAAAACTGTACTAAGATATATATCTGTCTCTTATACACATCTAGATGTGTATAAGAGACAGCCTAAATTCTAACACTTGTACCGTATGTGGGTTTCATAGAGAAAAGATAGAAATTAAAAGGTACAGTCTGTCTCTTATACACATCTAGATGTGTATAAGAGACAGTAAAGTGTATACGGTATATATATATATCTATATAGTAGCTACAAAAAAATAAAATGTAAATAAAAACGCATAAACCAATATATTCGTTTATGCGTTTTTATTTACATGCATTTGTAAATATATACAAATAGGACAGATACAAAATAAATTGTTACTAAAGTTATGTTCATATTAAGTTAGGTTCCTTGTTAATATTCCTGATTAAAAAAGAATTATTCCTGCACAAATGTATGGTTAATTTGTTTTTTATTGTTTGGTTATTGTGATTGTAGCGTGTTAAGCCAGGTTTCTATTTTCTTACCGCAATTCTGACACTAAAACGACCACAAGTGGACACGGGCAGGGCGTACACCGACGACAAGACAACAGAAACATGGTGTAGTGATGATGGAATTTATAACTCCTTTTAGAAACATTCGTAATAGTATAGGTATCAGCGAAATTATTAAATAGCTCCGATTAGGGCAGTGTAATAGAGCAGTAGAGTATATTGATAATGGCAAATAAGATATATTAATAGTAATTACCGTAAATGCGCCGCATCAATATTTTTTTTATAAGCGCCGCACTGAAGCCTCCAAAATGTTATAAGCGCTGTTTGCACCGAGAAGTCCTCGGAGCTAAAAACAGCGACTGCTGAATATCTCTCTCCGCAGTTTGCAAAGGAGTTACATAATATGGATTATGGAAAAAAAATTCTCTGTTGATTATGCGTCATCTAAATCTGAAGGTTCATTGGTGTTAATACAGTATAAGAGTCGAATTCAGAGATGTCCGAAAAAAAAAAGGCGATCGAGTTAACACTATCCTAGGGGGTCCGTGGGGCATGCCCTCGCGAAACTTTTGTTTTCTAGGCGCCTAAAAATAACCTCTTGAGGCGATCAATTTTTTCTTTTACTTTCTTACAGCGATTGTGGTTTTTTTTCTCAAAATTCCACTGTGCAATTCAGGTTTTTTGTCCTTGGCCCCAAACAGGAACGTAGCCAGGATTTTGAAAGGGGGTGGGGGAAGCTGTTATGCGAGGTACATAGGACCCGGCGAGGTCCAGGGGACGAACCCCCTGTGAAGTAGCGCACTCTGAACGTTTTTAAGGACTGTTTTGAGAGGATAAAGTGAAAATTGCATTAAATGAATCGTAAATAATATTAGTAGGCCCAAAAATAATTATAATAAATCAACAGTGGCGGATCAGGAAATTCGAAAGAGAGGTGACCCAGGGAGGGACTTTCACAGACTGAAGAACCACCAATCTCAGCGCCACCATGGTTGGGGCTAGCTGAGGTAAGAAAATTTATTATTAGGTAGGGCACCTTTAGTTGGCCGGCCATTACACTCTCATACTTAAATTTGAATATATTTTTCTTGTTTTTCCTCAAAAGAAAAAAATATCTTAACCAAAATAGTCATAATTATGAAAAATGAGCATGAAAACCCAGATTACATCCTGAAAAAAACAAATGTATACACCCTCTCCTCAGCAGTCACAAGACAGGGGAAGGGCGCAGATATATTTGTTTTGAAGGGGAGGGGAAGACATTTTGTGAGTCGTCACCCACCTCAGACTCACCATGGTTGGAGCTGAGGTGCGAAATGTGAGGAAATAGTAGGCTTATTTATAGATGGCCAGCAACGACACTTTTAGTAAAATTCATTATCATCACATCGCCATTAGTCCAAATGAAGCGCCTAGAACATTCTCATGGTCTCTTATCAGGGATTTTCTGCAACCATAGAGATCTCCTTAATGTGTGTGATATACTATAGAAAACAAAGCTTAAAACATTGTCTTTGAGTATGTACTTTACATATGATTTCGAAACCGTGACTTCACAACCACCTCTGCCTATAGTCCGGCAGCTTAGCAGATGGATGTGGACGTTCCGGACAAAAGCACCATTTTTTTTACATGCTTTTTATGGTCATAGCATTCAATTTTTGGTAGGAACCACCTCATCCGAGGT